GGTCACCCTTACTGACCCCCCCCCCCGCTGACTGGTGGCCTCTGCTGGGCTGGTTGCCCCTCATGGCCCCCCCTCGTCAGCCTTACTGCCCCCCCTCTGCTGGCCTGATTACCCCCAACTGCCCCTCCCCCACTGGCCTGGTCGCACAATACAGCCTGCTGTTCAGTCGTTTGGTTGTCCCTCACTAACCCCCCTGCCAGCCTGTTCTTAGGCAGCCATCTTGTGAGGGCGTGAGGGTTAATTTGCATATTACCTCTTTATTATATAGGATATCCCCCTTCAAGATTTCAGCCAATAGAAGAGATCGTGAGACATTCAGTGTCTGATACCGTGCCTCCCTTTTTCCTCTTTGCCTTCACATTTATTTGTGGCAGAAGGCTTAGGTTTCCCTTCTTTCAAATATACATACTCTCTTTGGTCATCTAAATTCTTCCTACCAATGGCTTATAGTACACTCAAAGATAAAGTTGCAAACCCTATTCTTTTTTTCTTTTTTCCAACTACAGTTTACATTCATTATGCACCAGTTTCAGATGTATAGCAAAGTGGCTGGAAAACCATGCTCTCCTCAGAGTGGTCCCTGGCTTCCCTAAGCACCCAGCTGGCCCCATACCTTGTTATCTCAACATTACTGAATATATTCTCCATGCTGCAATCCACATCTTTGTGGCTGTTCTGCAACCATCAATTTGTACTGCTTAATCCTTTTACCTTTTCACCTAGCTTCCTGACCCTCCTCCCTTCTGTTCTGTTTCTATGAGTCTGTTTCTAATTTGCTTGGCAAACCCCTTTCTTGATACACTAATGAGCATAATAAAATTAGAACTTTTTCTCTCAACGAAAATGTGGCTTTTCAAGATTTATTGAGGAAAATTCAGTTTTGGTAGTGAAATTGAACATCAAGGTCTCACCTGACTGAGAAGATCACAGACTTGGAAATGCAAAGAACAAAACAAAATAGAAAACCAACACCAACAAAAAGCACATTCATGTATTTTAAACATTTATAATTCAATTACATATTTTTCTCTGTTTTTGGCAACTGTTCAATGGCAACTTATTTAGAGACATTTTGGTATATATTGTGTCATTTTTTTTGCTACATTTTGTGAAATTTTGTTGGTTCAGAATAATTTATCTGTTTTACATATGACAGTGTACTAGCCCAGAATGATTTATATATTTTACAAAATATATAAATATATTTTAATTTACTTATGTATAAAAAGATGTAAGATTTAAGGCAAAATGTTTATTTTATATAATTTTTTATTATAAGTAACAAGTGAATGTATAATAATAAATGTTTTAAATTCATAATATCTATAAAGAATTATATAAGATGTCAATTTTACAGACTATACATCACAGCTGCATCATATATTATTCCCAAACAGGTAGTGGCTCCTAAGAAAGCCCGTTTAACAGAAGCTCAGAAGTCCTTAGCTGAGATAATGGAAATTTTGAATCAGAAGAGAGCAGAATTGGCAGAAGTTGAACATCATTTGGAAAATTTACAAAATATTTTTTCTGAAAAAACTGAGGAAAAGGCTCGTTTAGAAGATCAGGTGGAACTCTGTGCTAAGAAGCTTGAAAGAGCCTCAAAACTAATTGGAGGACTGGGTGGAGAAAAATCAAGGTCATATTTCTGCTTATTTTAGCAACATATAAAAATGTCAGGCTTGAATATGTGACTTTATTTGATATTTATTATGATCATTGATTTTAAAATGTCTGGTTGAAAATGTGGGACATTCTTCAAGGCACCTGGCCAAGGTTCTTCAAAAAGAATATCAATGTCAAAAGACGTTGTAGAGAAGCAAATAAGGGAAGTGATCATTTTTATTGATTTTAGAGAGAGAGGGAGGGAGAGAGAGAGAAACATCTATGTGAGAGAGAAACATTGACTTGTCGCATCCCACACATGCCCCGAGTGTGGATCAAAACCACATCCTAGGTATGTGCCCTGACAGGAATCAAATCCACCACCTTTTGGTGTATGGGGTGATGTTCCAACCAACTTAGCCATACTGGCCAGGGCAGGAAATGGTAATTTTTAATCTAAATGGTGAGTAGGTGGGTAATCACTGTACAGGTCTTTCTAGTTTTACATATATGTTCAAAATTTTTCATGATAAAATGTTGGGGGTGGGGAGTAATGGATATATGGCTCACTCTGTTGAAATTTATTTCAAAGAGGTTATAACTGGCTTCATCTAACCATGCCAGTTAGTTTTGTTCTAATTATTTATTTGTACTGGCCAGCCAGCTACCTCACTTATTAATTATATTTGTTGAATGAATAGCATGATAAAGTAATATGCCTTTAACTTTGTAGTGCAGATTTGATGGTTTTGGAATGTACTTTCTTCGCAAAGTTTTCATTAAATGGAAAAATATTAACCCTAGCAATAGTATATCAGCTTCTATACAACTTAAATATAATTTTGGGTAATGAATTGCAGACTAACAAAAAATACTGAAACAGTAAATACTGAAACCACTATGATATCATTGTAATTAGCTAGTTATTAATAATAGGAAAGGAACAAAGGGGAAAACCAGACATTATAGGTATGTCATTTAGGCAGCTTCACCAGGAAGCTGCAACTTTGCACTCCCCAGGGAACCACTGGTATGTTCTCTGCAAAGCACTGGTGGAAGGGGGCAGAACAAAAGGAAGATAGACACATGCCCAGTAAAGTTGGAGTGACCAGGGACTAGGAGAGGTACCTGTCAGTAAAACCTAGGGACAGAGATATTTGGTCAGAATGAGCATCATCACTGCAAACCCACAAAAATTTGAGAATACATAATCCCCTAAACAAAGGAATTCTCTTTCTTGTTGCACTTGACTCTTGCTTCCTTTTGCTCCTGCTTCGTTGTATTCGCCCTATGGTCCACAGCCATGTGGACCCCATATATAATGGACAAATGGACTGCATTGGGAAACAAGCTAAGCTAGCCTGATGCTGGACTTGATTCTGCTCCAATATGGAAAGGAAACTCTAGAGACTGGCCCCAGCTACACTTCTTCTATGACTGGACTAAGGGAAATGGGGCTTTGGAAACTCAGGGATTTAATTCCACCCAAATAAAAATAATTTGTTCTCCAATATGAGTCTTAGAAAATTTTTTTCTTGGGATATCGCAAGAAATCCAACCATACTAGCAACCGGGGAAGAGAAGATCTCTCCTATCCTGTAACAACTAGACCAAATCATCCTGAAGAAAATTATTAGACAAAATGCTGGAGGGGTGGGGGTTGTTTTTGCTTATTCTGAAGGGCCAAATTCTGAAAACAACAACAACACCTAATATTCTGATAGTGAAAGGTGGATTGTCATTTGTTTAACATAGATCTGTGTTAGAGCATGCTAAACCTAGAAGGGATCTAATCTCATTTTATAGGTAAGCAAGTATCCAACATTTCACGGCTTTTTGTTATAGAATCTGAGCTAGAAGCTCCTTGCCCTTTCAATTACTGTCTTCCATCATTCTCTATGGTGAGGCTATTTTACCTTTGGTTTATCTCACAGATGGTCTCAAGCTGCAGATGACCTCCAAATAGTATATGAAAATTTGACTGGCGATGTCTTGGTATCAGCAGGAGTAATAGCCTACCTTGGTGCTTTTACTTCTGGCTTTCGACAAACATGTACAGAAAATTGGAGCAGGTTGTGCAAGGTAATGGTTTTATATTTCATAAGTTTCTTTTTAGATCATTCAAAGAATAAGTTGGGATATTTTGGGGGGAAAGATGATAATAAGGACAGAGAAGTGAAGAAATAACTGAAAATATAAGGGGTTTTTTTCCTTCTTGATGGATCAGTAAAGTACTTCCATAGTATAACTTTCTCTTTTTTTCTTCTTCTTCTAATATATTTTATTTTTTACTTTCTTTTTACAATTTTTAAAATTGTTCAATTACAGTTGATATTCAATACTACAATAGTTTCAAGTGAACAACATAGTGGTTAGATATTTATTTAACTTACAGGTGATCCCCGCAATAAGCCTAGTACCTCCTTGACACTATACATGGTTATTACTATACTAGAGGCCTGATGCATGAAATTTGTGCAAGAGTAGGCCTTTGCAGCCGGGCCTCAATCCCTCGCAGCTGTGGCGGCTGCCTCCATCCCATAGCTGCAGCCCTGGCTTCTTCCAGAAGGTCATCCGGAAGGACATCTGGGTGGTTGTTCCGCTGTTCGGCCGTTCAGTCGATTTGCATATTACACTTTTATTATTATAGACTAGAGGCCCAGTGCACAAAAATTTGTGCACTCAGGGGGGAGAGGGGGGTTCCTCAGCCCGGCCTGTGCCCTCTCACAGTCTGAGACCCCTCGGGAGATAATGACCTGCTGGCTTAGGCCCGCTCCCAGGTGGCAGAGGGCAGGCCCAATCCCTAGGTGCAGCCCCTGGTCAGGCTCAGAGCAGGGCCGATTGGGGAGTTGGGGCGTTGCCCCCTGTCATGCACAGAGCAGGGCGGATCGGGAGGTTGAGATGCCACCCCTAGTCACGCTCAGGGTAGGGCCGATTGGGAGATTGGGGCACCGCCCCCCTGTCACACTCAAGGCAGGGTCGATAGGGAGGTTGCAGCGCCACCCCCTGTCATGCATAGAGCAGGGCCCATCAGGGGGGTTGGGGCTCCCCCCTGTCACGCACAGAGCAGGGCGATCAGGGGGTTGGGGAGCTCCCCCCTGTCACGCACAGAGCAGGGCCGATCAGGGGGTTGAGGCACTCCCCCCTGTCACGCACAGAGCAGGGCCCATCAGGGGATTGGGGAGCTCCCCCCTGTCACGCACAGAGCAGGGATGATCAGGGGGTTGAGAAGCTCCCCCCTGTCACTCACAGAGCAGGGCCGATAGGGGAGTTGGGGCACCGCCCTCTATCACCCACAGAGCAGGGCGGATCAGGGGGTTGGGGCGCCACCACTGTCACACTCAGGGCAGGGCCGATGGGGGTGGGGGTTGGGGTGCCGCACCCTGTCACACACAGAGTCGCAGGGTGATCAGGGGGTTGGGGAGCTCCCCCCTGTCATGCACAGAGCAGGGCTGATCAGGGGGTTGAGGAGCTCCCCCCTGTCACTAACAGAGCAGGGTGGATAGGGAGGTTGTGGCCCCGCCCCCTGTCACACACAGAGCCACAGGGCTGATCAGGGGGTTTGGTCGCTGCCCCCTGTCACGCTGATCCCGGTGCTGGGAGGCATATTACCCTTTTACTATATACGATAGAAGCCTGGTGCACGGGTGGGGGCCGGCTGGTTTGCCCTGAAGGGTGTCCTGGATCAGGGTGGGGCTCTTGCTTGGGTGCCTGGCCAGCCTGGGTGAGGGGATGATGGCTGTTTGCATCTGGTCACACCCTCTTTAGGGTGGGGGTCTCCACTGGGGTGCCTGGCCAGCCTGGGTGAGGGGCTGAGGGCCGTTTTCAGGCTGGCGGGTGACTGAAGCTCCAAACTGCTCCTTTTTTCCTTTTTTTTAAATTCTGGGCCAGCTTTAGCTCTGAGGCTCGGCTCCAGCTATGAGGCCTCCGCTGCTGAAAGCAGGTTTCTGGCCTTTGTTTACCTTCTGTATTTGAAATGTTGCGGTCCTGCTGGCTGAAGCCCGGGGTTTTGTTTAGCTTCTATATTTGTTACAATGTTGCTTAGAGTGCAGCTGAGAGGCCGGCAAGGCAGGCGGGTAAGCTTGGCTTCCTCCGTCACTGAAGCAAGCAAGCCTCCCTGTTTGCATCAGCTGCCTGGCTGCCAGCCGCCATCTTGGTTGGCAGTTAATTTGCATATCTCAGTGATTAGCCAATGGGAAGGGTAGCAGCTGTATGGCTAATTACCATGTTTCTCTTTTATTAGATAGGATTACTGACTATATTCCCTATGCTGTGCTTTATATCCCTGTGATAGTCCAACTTTCAATTTAGGTGGTTTTTTTCTGTTCCTTATAGTTATTAAATAATATCTAATGACAAATCAATATTTTAATTTGAAAAATATTTTGATCAACAAGATGAAAGAAAATATCAGATATTTGTTTATTTCTTACAGGAGAAAAAATTCCCATGTTCAGAGGAGTTCTCATTGAGTAAGACCCTGGGTGATCCAGTAAAAATTAGAGCTTGGAATATTGCTGGATTACCAACAGATACTTTCTCCATAGATAATGGAGTGATTGTTAATAACTCCAGGCGTTGGTAAGGAACATAAAATATATTTATTTTTCAGTAATTTTATTTGAAAGTTGTTTCCAACATAGAGAAAGATTGCAAAGATTTTAGAGTAAGTACCCACATAACTACCATCTCCTACATCCTAAATTAACATTTCATTTTTCTTGATGTTTTATCAAATATTTATCCATCCCTCTATCCATTCGTCAAATCATCCTTTTTTATGCGTTTCAAAATAACTTGAAGAAATGGATGTACTTTCCCTAATACTTCATCCATGTATATCATAAACTAAAGTTCAATATTATGTATGCTTTTTTCTTTTAAGGTAAAATTAGCATTAAATGTAATACCTAATATTTAAGAACACCATTCTATGAGTCCTTTAAAAAGTGTATACAAAAGTGTACACTTATACAATCCAAACCTCTGTCAAGATACAGAACATGACTTCCAGGAAGTTCTCTTATGTCCCTTCTCAGTAAATCCTCACCCTCACCTCACCATAGGAAATTATTATTCTGATTATTTTTCACCATAGATTACTTTTGACTGTTCTAGAACTTCATATAAACAAATCATACTGTACATACTCTTTTGTGCAATGTTTCTTTTACACACCATGATATACCTATTTTTTTGTTGCTGAGTGGTATTGCATTGTATGAATGTATCACTGTTTATGCATTCTCCTGTTGATGGGCACCTGGGCTATTTCTAGCTTTTGGCTATCCAGTGTATTTATTTTAACTAGGTATTTATGTCCATTTTCAAGATACTATAATTTATGCAGTTTCATGGATACCTTTTAAAATTACTATCAATAGTGTGATAATTATATGAATATTCCAAATGGTTTTTATTGTTAACCTTTCATTTATATTACTTTGGAAAATTACTCTCATCTGAAAAATAGTTTCCTATAAATGCTTATTCAGTCATGTTGTCATCTAATTTTAAAAGTCTTCTCTTGGGACCATATCTCAAACCTACTGTTAGGTACTACTGAGCTCTTACATTCATGAGGTACTGTTGTAAGTGCCCTATGTTCTCACAAACTCCTGAGTTAGGTGTTATTATTATTCCATTTTACAGATGAGGAAATTTAGACCCAGAGTGATTTAGTAGTTCGAAAGTTAGTAAGATAACTGAGCTAATGAATGGTGGAGTTAGAATTTTAACCCAGGCAATTTAACTTCCAATTCTTAATCACTATGTTAAGTAAAATGTGGAATAGGATATCATATTCATGATCGTTAAAAATGAAGCTCTGCCAGTGTGGCTCAGCAGTTGAGCATCAACCCAGGAACCAAGAGGTCATCAGTTTGATTCCTGGTCAGAGCACATGCCCAGCACATGCCCAGGTTGTGGGCTCTATCCCCAGTAGGGGGTGTGCAGGAGGCAGCCAATCAGTGATGTTTCTCTCTCATCGATGTTTCTATCTCTATATTCCTCTTCCTTCCTCTCTCTCTAAAAATCAATAAAAACATATTAAAACTATCATGGAAATTTCAATTTTCTTTTGGAATATAAGATACATTAAAGTTGCATTACAAATCAGTGAGAAAGGCCCAACCGTTGTGGCTCAGTGGTTGAGTGTCAGCCTATGAACCAGGAGGTCACGGTTCAATTCCCAGTCAGGGCATATACTGGGTTGTGGGGTCGATCCCCAGTGTGGGGCATGCAGGAGGCAGATGATCAATGATTCTCTCTCATCATTGATGTTTCTATCTCTCTCTACCTCTCTCTTCCTTTCTGAAATCAATAAAGGTATATTAAAAATGAAACAAATCAGTGAGGAAGGATAGGTAACTCAATAAACAGTGCTGATGTAAATGACTATCATTATAAAAAAATAAATTAAATCCTTACCTTTCATCACAAGCACCTGAATGCCCCTGATAGAGAGGGGGTCTCTCTCTACATTTTTACTCTTCCTGGATGTACTCTGTGCTTGTTTTGGGGGCAGAATGGGACTCTGTTATTCTGGTCTTAGTCTTAGGAAGGCCCTTGTGCAGGCTAGGACTTGTTCAGCCTTTCTTCCCCTCCTTCCTATGACTGCTAAATTCCGCCTTCTACCTATGGTTGGTCTTGAACAGGAGTTTCCCACCCTTCTCCTGGGGTGAGAGATCTCTACTTGGTAAAGGTTGGTAAAAGTATAATGTTTTTAGCCCAAAACATTTTTCTGCCCAATACTCCCACCCCAACCCTGGGATTAAGTTTTTCTTTTGCTCTTGCTCAAGCTACAATGTGTGTTTTGTCCTTACTTCTTCCAGGATTCCCAGGCATAATTTTGGCCCAATACATGTTAATTTCCCAGCTTGGAGTTTCCTAGGTTACATAGATAGTGTAAACTTGCATCCTATACCTGCATGAAATGTAACACATGGTTACAGATTCTCAGGGGACTTTTTCCCAGCTGGAGATGAGACAGACATCAAAACACTTCCTTCTTGTCTCCTTATGCATAAAGTTGGGATTTTTTCTATCTATGATTTCACTAACCTTTTGTGGGTTTAAGCTTAATACAGGGCTCTCAGTTCTAGCTTCTTGCTACATATGGCTTAAGGCATCTGTAAGGTTATGAGAATTGACACTCCCCAAGGCTAGCTACCATTTCAGCTCACACAATTACTGTTCTGGAATTCTTTTGTCTGTGTTTCTGGCACCTGTGTTTTTCTGGATGTTTGTATTATGTGTGTATGTATCTCTTAAATGCATGTCAACTATTTATTTTTAAAATTCTATATTTTATCTACTAGTGAATAAATTAAACTAGGTGGCTGGAGGATTTTTAGATTATTTTGCTAATCAGGTTGCTAGAACCATAGCTTAAAGTTAATCAGTCCTTGTTTTGCTTGCTCATAATTTCTAGAAGTTTGTCTGTTTATAATATTGTGCAATGGTTGAGAGCAGTGCAAATACTGGTGTCAGGCTATTTCAGCCGTGGGCAAACTACGGCCCACGGGCCGGATCCGGCCTGTTTGAAATGAATAAAACTAAAAAAAAAAAAAAAAAGACCATACCCTTTTATGTAATGATGTTTACTTTGAATTTATATTAGTTCACACAAACACTCCATCCATGCTTTTGTTCCGGGCCTCCGGTCCAGTTTAAGAACCCATTGTGGCCCTCGAGTCAAAAAGTTTGCCCACCCCTGGGCTATTTGGATTCAAATTTTTCTCTATCACTTTCTATCTTGAGATTTTGGTAACTTAGTTGACCTCTCAGTGCCTCAGGTGCCCGAACTGTAAATGAAGATAATAATTTCTTCCTCATAGGAATATTGTGAGAAAGTGCTTGAATATAAGTGCTCAATAAATGTTAATTTTTAAATAATTATCATCTTTAAATACTTCATTTAGTGTCTATATCTCAAATTCTGACTTGCTTACTTTTTAACCATGATAAAAATACTATGCTGCTTCACTATTGTTTATTAACTTAACAGTAAAGCTTATTTTCCCCAAAATTACTACCTCTGTCAGAATAGATGGATAATGCTTTTTTCTTCAGACTGTTCAAGGATTTCAAATGTAGATGAGAATTATTTTCATACCTATAATAAGGTACACTTGGATTACAAATACCATGGCATGGTCTTATCTCTCTGATGGACATAACTCAATTTTCCAGATATATTTGTAACTAGAAGCCCGGTGCACGAAATTCATACATAGGGCGGGGGCGGGGAGGTAGTGTCCCTCAGCCCGGCCTGCACCCTCTCCAATCCGGGACCCCTTGGGGGATGTCCAACTGCCAGACATCCCTCTCACAATCCTGGACTACTGGCTTCTAACTGCTCACCTGCCTGCCTGTCTAATCGCCCCTAACTACTTTGCCTGCTGGCCTGATTGCCCCTAACTGCTCTCCCCTGCTGGCCTGACCTCCCCTAACTGCTCTCCCCTGCCGGCCTGATCACCCCTAACCGCCTCTGCCTCGGCCACCGCCACCATGGCTTTGTCCGGAAGGATGTTCGGAAGACATCCAGTCTAATTAGCATATTACCCTTTTATTAGTATAGATACTTACATAAAGTTATGTTAAGTGGGAATTGGATTTGTTTTAAAATAAAAAAGAATCTCTATTGCAATTCTAAGAACATTGATTTAGGCATTACTAAGAATATTGACTAGCATTGAAATGTTAATTTACAGAAATTGTTACTTTTGCAACGGAAAGAACAAATACTGTGTTTTGCCAATCATAAGCATATACTGAATAAGGAAGAAAAGAGTCTATTTAAATAGGACCTTGATGCATTTAGTTTAATTACTAGGCAACTTTTAAGCAGTTGTATGTAAAATAACTTTCTCAGTTTCAGAACTTGTTTCCTCTGTTTGCTGTGATATTAAAAGTAAATTTTGACTAGTCTCTGGACCTTTTGGTGCTTTCAGTAGGATTTCAGTACAATTTGAGCTGAGGAAGCTGGCAGCTGAATTGAGTTGCTTTGTCTTTTGGAAAGGAAAGAAAATAGAACAGAGATATCTGGGAGTAGTTGATTAAAGAGCTTATTTATAGGAAAAGAGAAAGAAGATTTATCCCTACAAGCTGTTAAAATGGAAAGAGACTGTCTGAGAAAGCCAAATAGACATGGGATGAAAACTCCCCTTTCTGTGCTTTTTTTTTTTTAAAATTTATTTTAGAGTGAGAAGAAGGGAAAGGGAGAGAAACATTACTGGCTGCCTCCTGCATGCCCCCTGCTGGGGATCAAGCCCACATCCCAGGAATGTGCCCTGACTGGGAATCTGACCAGTGACCTTTTGGTGCATGAGATGACGCTCAACCAACTGAGCCAGCTGGCCAGGACTGTGTTAATATTTTTTAAAGATAATTTAATGCACTGTGCTGAAGACAGCATTATCACTGAGGAAGAAGAAAGCACAACATGAATCATGTATTCTTGAATATAGTCTTTATCATACTTACATAGAAAAAAATTCTAAATAGATCTCATATATTGGACTAAACTTGGGAATTTAGTTTATGACTCTATTGATACCCTGAAGAAATCCGTTATAGACTAGTAGATCTCTTTAAATTTTTATCAAATAAGTAGAATTATTTTTCACATTATTTTAACAGATCTCATGTATTAAAATTACCTTGAAGATGATATGTTATATTGGGAAGAGCACAGCTTACAGGTTCACAAGATCCTACTTCTGACATTGAAGTAATTTTGTATCTATGGAACCTTGGTCAAAGTGCTCCCTGAGACTGAATTTCTTCATTTCAAAAATAAATAAGATTAAAACTCCTTTTTTACTCTTTTATCACAGGACTTTTGTGAAGATTAATCCTGATAATATTTATGAAACACAAATTGATGGTGATGTTTATTATTTAAATTATATAATTTTAAAGAAATATGAATATCTATTCCCCTCAGAATTTTTCTTATTATATTTTAGGCCTTTAATGATTGACCCCCAGGGTCAAGCCAATAAGTGGATCAAAAACTCTGAGAAAGATAATCAGCTTAGTGTTATTAAGCTATCAGATTCAGACTATATGAGAACACTGGAAAACTGTATTCAGTTTGGAACTCCGCTTCTGTTAGAGAATGTTGGCGAAGAACTGGACCCATCTTTGGAGCCTTTACTACTTAGACAAACTTTTAAACAAGGTAAAAGTCAATTAATATTAATTTAACTGAAAGATGATTGTTATCTTTGAGGCTTATCTTTGAGGAAGGAAAACCACCACATACATTTAATAATGAGGTTAATAACTCTGAACTTCTGTATCATTGTTATGTATGAAATGAAATTTGGAACAAGTATTAAGAATGAACTTTGCCCTCCCTTCTTTGCCTTAATCACTGTTATCTGCACTGTTGTTCAGTAAAGAACATAAAAAAGTTTAAGGTGGCCTGAAATTCCTTTATCGTGTGATGGTGGACCACACAAAGTCCATTATTAGAAATAGTAATGGTTAATGTCGACCATGTGAGTAAACATTGCCCATCTCATATTTTTTCTGCTTATAAAAAATTTATCTCTGCCAAACTCTAGTACTTTTAAGAGCTTTAGTCATATACAAATACCTTTGGAATCATGATTGAAAATCGATAGAGGTTCCATTGTATAATGGTCAGTACTCTGGATTCTGAAAATGGAGAGAGGAAGTAACATCAAGAGGAATCTTCATTTAGAAGGCTTCATGACCAGAGAAAATGTCTTATACTACCCAAGAATGAATAGTCCTGCTGTATAACTGTTTACTTTCCTCTGTGTCTGTGACTTTTGTCACATCTGTATTCTCCTTTAAATTACTAGTAACCTGGGAAAGGTCTTAACACAGGGGGAGGGGTTATGCAACTTTGGCTTACTGACTATTCATTTGTTTTCTGAAATACAGGTGGCATTGATTGTATCAGGCTTGGTGAAGTCATTATTGAGTATTCCTTTGATTTCAAGTTTTATATCACCACAAAACTGAGAAATCCACACTATATGCCAGAGCTAGCTACAAAATTGTCTTTGCTCAATTTCATGATAACTCCAGAAGGACTTGAAGATCAGTTATTAGGTATTGTTGTCGCAAAGGAGAGGTATGTATTTTCTTAGCTGCTTCCAGATTGCCTAGAGAGAAATATTTGTAGGCCATTAATACTTTTATTATGTGATTATTTCAAAACCTTGTCAAATTTTATATCTTGTTATTATAAATTAAATAATTATATAATCCTTTAAAATAGCCATTTTATAACAAGCAAGTTATAAATCAACCATGTTATATTGGGCTCTTAATATGGGTAGTAAGATTCAAGTGACATGCCATAATTTCTGACTTCTGATTGTTTGAGCCAAAAAATTTCACCCTAAGAATTCTATGGATAAAATCAGAAATGTGTTCAAATACATATACAGGATATTAATAAGAAGATACTTAGGATAAGAACAAAAAAATAGGATACTAAACTATATGCAGTTTGGGTAATATTTTGTAAAAACAAAAGTTAATGATGAATGCAGGGAAATGAATGCAGGTAAAGATTACACCAGAATATTAACTGTGATCATCCCTCAAATGCTAAGATTATGGGTAATTATTACTATTTTCTTCATAATTGATGTATTTTTTATTAATCGCACATGTTATTATTTAAATGAGAAAAATATATGTGGAGGGGCTAATGGTAAATAATTGCTTCCTGGGGGGAGAACCAAGATGGCTGTGTAGTTAAATGCCTACTTGCCACCTCCCACAACCACATCAAGATTACAACTAAATACAGAACGACCATCATTCAGAACCTCTTGAAATATGGCTGAATGGAAGTCCTACAAATAGAGAAGTAAGGAAGGAAGCACATTGGTAGGAGGGGTGGAGGAGCAGAACAGGCTGGTCCTACACCCACATGAGACGTTGTTTTAATCAGGAGGGATATCTTGGCTGTGGAGGCCTTCCAGAGGAGCAAAGGATCCTAGCCCCACACCAGACCCCTCAGCCCAAGGTGCCAGAGCTGGGAATAGAAGTCCCTGTAACTTTGGGCTGTAAAAACCAGTGGTGTTTATGGCTGAGTGACACAGAGGTTGCTGGAGACCCAGGCAGTTCCTCTTAAAGGGCTGGTGCACAAACTTACATGAACTTGTTCCCTCTGAGATCCAGTGATGAGGCAGCAGCTTGAGGGGACCCAGGGACATACAGGTAGGAATTGAATTGTCTGGCATCAGAGCAAGAACTCAGGGGTGGCTTTCTCCCAGACAGAGGTGCTCAGAGGGGTCATAGTTCCTATGCTGAGACCTCCACTGTTGCAGAGCTAACTGGCATCCATATCTGAGTTTCCATCAGCCTGGCTCACACTGTCCACTCCACCCTGAGACCCTTCCCCGTACAATTTGCAGCCCCACCCAAGCTGTGGGCAACAGCTTTTCCATATAAATGGCTTGTCCTGGCTCAGGCTTCAGATCTTCATAAAATCTTTCAAACAAGCAGCATCTGGCATCAGCATGCTCCATACCTATCAATCAGAGGCCCAAGAACCGACACAGCTGGTCCTCATAGCCAATCGGCCTAGAGGTCAATTCCTCCCAGTGACTCCAACAGCAGTCAAAGCTCAACTACAACAAGACTGTACACACAGGCCTCACAGGGATGCATCTAAAGGGCCCATCCCTGGTGACTGGGGAGGTTGAGCCACTGGGCCCTATAGGACACCTACTTCACAAGGCTACTCTACCAAGTCCTGGAGACAAAGCAGCTCTACCTAATACATAGAAACAAACACAGGGAAGCAGCCAAAATGCAGAGACAAAGAAACATGTCACAAACGAAAGAAAAGAAGGAATCTCCAGAGAAAGTACTAAATGAAATGGAAGCAAACAAACTACTAGCTACAGAGTTCAAAACAATGGTTATAAGGATGATCAAGGATCTTAATGAGAGCTTCAAGGGACTTAGTGAGACTTTCAAGGTTCTTAGTGAGAATGTCAGACATGAAAAAGGGCCAGTCAGAAATTAAGCATACACTAATTGAAATAAAGAATAATTTACAGAAATTCAACAGTAGAGTAGAAAATTCTGAGAATCAAATCAATGATTTCGAATATGAGGAAGCAAAATACACTCAATCAGAAGAGCAAAAAGAACAAAGAATCCAAAAATATGAAGATAGTATAAGGAGTCTCTGGGAAAAGTTTAAGCACACCAACATTCACACAATGGGGGTGCTAGAAGGAGAAGAGAGAACAAGATATTGAAAACCTATTTGAAGAAATAATGACAGAAAACTTCCCCTACCTGGTGAAAGAAATAGACTTACACGTCCAGGAAGCACAGAGAGTCCCAAACAAGCGGAACCCAAAGAGACTCACACCAAAACACATATGTCCCTCTTTCTCCCCCATTAGTCCCCTCCAGCCTCCCCTGCCCCCACCCCAGAGCCAGTTGTACAATAAGTGGTCCTTTTTATATCTGCTATTTTAGAAGAAATAATGAAAGTTAGATGGAATATGACAATGTCAAGAAATAAATAAGAAATTTCATCTCCAGTTCTTTTTTTAAAATTTATCTTTATTATTGAAAGTATTACAGATATCCCCCTTTCCCCCCACTCCTCCACTGACTTTTTTCACCCAGCTCCTGTCCCCTCCCTAGGCCTTTCCCACACTGTTGTCTGCCCATTTGCTATGCATATATGCATATAAGTTCATTGGTTAATATCTTCATACTCCCTCCCCCCTTCCCTCTGAAATATGTCAGCCTGTTGCATGCTTCAATGTCTCTGGATTTTTTTGTTGTTCATCAGTTTATTTTTTCATTAGGTCTTCTCCAGTTCTTATTCTCACATAACTGGCTACACCATATGGATAAACTTATTATATTCTTAGACTCACCACAGTACATGTTATTGCTTTTTTGCTTGAATTTCTCAAATTATTATTTGAATGGAAGTAATTTTAGGTTAGGATTAAGAGATTAATCACCTTAGTTTGTGTTAATGTCTACAAAATTATTTAAGTGTCTATAATATTATGATGTCTAATGTTTAAATATGAATTTAGATAAAATACTACAAATTTAGACTACATGTTTTTATCTTTTAGACCAGAATTAGAAGAGGAAAGAAATGCTCTTATTCTTCAGTCTGCAGCTAATAAGAAACAGCTAAAAGATATAGAGAAAAGAATTTTGGAAACATTATCATCTTCAGAAGGGAACATTTTAGAAGATGAAAGTGCAATTAAAGTCTTAGACTCTGCTAAAATGATGTCCAATGAGATAACAAAGAAACAGCAGGTGAAAAAATAATCCTAGAAATCTTTTGATTCTTAACAATTTTCTCCGGGTGCCTTAAGAAAATGCTATACTAGGCTTACTGGGAAAGGAAAAGAATTCATAAAAATACAAAAACAGAAACTAATTTTTAACTCACAAAGTATTTCTTAGTGTTGAATTATCCAAATCCTGTTCAGACTTGTATAGTATTTTACATAGAGAAATAAATTTAAAATGAAAGTTTTAAAAACTCATGACAAAATATACACATTTTAGAAATCTGTACTTTTTTCAAATACTGAATCCTTATTTTTGAATTCTTTAGATTTTAAATTGGAGAAAAGCACTTAAAGTTTTTTATATATGAATATTACATGTAAAGCTGTTAAAATACATAAAATATAATATATTTTTATTATTGCATAGGTAAGGCAAGCTAGTCTGTTTCATTCAAATGTAACTGACTGTCACCTAAAAACTAAGAATTTGGCTTGCCTCTGTTCCTGGTTGAAGTGTGGAGGTAATTGCTGGCTAATTGGACATTAAGTGGTTTTAGGAACTAATAAGGATGCTTTTCTGCCATTGCCTGGTCATTTGCTCATCAAGGAGAAAGGCATGAGAGTTAGGAGTGGCAGGTGAAGGAAGAAAGACAAGAGATCTACAACGAATAAAGTATTTATTATAAATTTTATCTATGACAGCCAAATGGTAATTTCATATTGTATATTTTTAATAGAATCCTACAGAATTATAGGTAGATATGCCTTAGCTGTCAGTTATTTTTTATATTTGATAATTAAGAAAACTAGGGTCCCGAAACAGTAGTTGAAGCCCAAGTTCACACAATAAAATGATATTACAGAATGACTTCTATAGGCTAACGTTATTGATTTACTTTTGATCCTCCTTGGCCCACCCAATAAATCAAGCACATCTTAATATTAGGATAACTTTAAAAAATTTTTAAACCTAAATAGAAATTGCACTAATTGTTCAGTACCTTCTGCTGTTCCCCACCCCATGCACCTCTAATCTAGAGGACTTATTAAAAGACTTAGACACACTTTCCCTTGGGATGGGTTTAGTTTTGTGTGACAGTGATGGTAATGACTGTCAGTTCAGATGTACTGTTTTTCTTTATTGTTGTTTTTGAGATTTTGGGGGGTTTTTTGCTTGTTTTTATTTTAGAAGAGCCAAAAGAATACTATCTTAAAGTAATATCCTATGGCAGCTCCCCATGGGGACCATGGCTGAGGTATTCTATAATGTCTCCCTTCTTTCCCTGTCCATCAAAGCAGAACCAACTTATTGTCTCCTCACTACGCTGTTTGTTCAAAGGGGAGAAAGGATAAGAAGAATTTATCAGTTTATTTCCTATTAAGATTCCAAGAGGGAAAGAGATATAAGTATTTATTGGTTCCAGAATTTTATCTTACAAAGAGAAAGAAATTTAAGAAATCATGTCTTTCTGGCTGGGTCTCCTGATGGATGAAAAAATATGTTTTAAATAACAGGTTTAAATGGGAATACTAAGATTATGCTCTCTTATGTAAAATGTCATTAATTTCCATTGTTGATAACTTTGTTTTACTTTTTTATAGTCAAAATTGAGGTTTAAAACTTACTTTTAATTGTGGTTAATACTGTGTAATTTTAGGGAAAGTTTGTTTGCAAGAAAGAGAAACCCACTCAAATTAGCTCAAATTACAAATATGCAAGAAGATATTTTATTTTCCCAATTATACAAAGTATGTACAAGACTCAGGAATAAATGGAAAGCATTGAGTTTCTATGATCTCTGTCTTCCCCTCTCTCTAATTTGTGTTGTTCTCTCAATTCCACTTGAAGACCAATTTCTTCTGTAAAACTTTTGTGTCTGTTTCCTCCTACATTTATCTGGCCTATAGAAAACGACTTTGGTCCCATTACCTTTTAGCTCTGATGCCCAGTACCACCTGACTTCATTTTCTGAGGCTCGTAAAGGGTGAAACATTTGGAGAGAAAATTGCTTAACTTATTTTGGGCCTTATTCTATTCATACCACCTGATTGAATCAGCTACAAATGGGATCATCCTATATAATAAAAGGCTAATCTGCAAATCAACCTAACAGCCAAACGACTGGTCACTATGATGCGCACTGACCACCAGGGGGCTAACGCTCAATGCAGGAGCTGCCTCCTGGTGGTCAGTGCGCTCCCAGAGGGGGAGCATCGCTCAGCCAGAAGCTGGGCTCATGGCTGACGAGCACAGTGGTGGTGATGGGAGCCTCTCCCACCTCCGCAGCAGCTAAGGACCCCTGGGGGATGTCTGGCGAGGGGTCCCAGACTGCGAGAGGGTGCAGGCTGGGCTGAGGGACCCCCCCCCCAAGTGCATGAATGTTGTGTACAAGGCCTCTAGTTCAATATAAACATGACTACATATGCATACTTATTGAACAGAGTCTGTGGCTAGTATTTCCAAAGAGGGAAAGTGGGTTGTAAAAATGTTCTACACATTTTTCCTATAGAATATTAACCTATCAGATTGAGTTGTCAATTGAAGAGCTGTTATCTTGGAGAAATTTTTCTCTTTTGGAGTTGAATATCTACACCCCTATTAGTCTAGAAAAGTTAAACATATCAGAAGCTAGTTGACAAAAAAGTATTCTTAATGTATAAAACCGTCAGCCAACAAATATTTCTGAATACCTACTCTGCCCCTAAACTTTGTGCTGGGTTCTGGTACGCGTACGTGTTGGCACCTTAAACATCCACACTTTCTCTCTACCTCTCTTTCTCCCTCTCCTTCTCTATCTCTGACCTACTTAAAGAGGGTGAATGACTGTAGTAGACACATGTAAGATTCAGGCAAAAAAATAAGCAAAGATTTACAGCTGTGGTATTTCTCAAATAAGAGATGGTTGGTGAGTTATCACAATTTTAATCTATAAACCTCTGGTCTTCTCCCCTCCCTCCATAGTTCTTTCTTTCCTTTCTTTCTCTTTTTGCCCTTCCCTTCCCTTTTTTTCCTTTGTAGCTTTTATCATAATAAAACCCTTTCTTGTAAACTATGCTTCTATAATTTTGTCATTGAGTTAAGTGGCTATTTTTAAAACTATAAACTTAATCACATGAGAAATATAATTAAAACACATTTTTATTTTGATTTTCCTCTTCTAGATTGCAGAAAAAACAGAACTCAAAATAGCAGAGTCTCGAGAAGGATATAGACCTATTGCTAAACATTCATCAGTATTATTCTTTAGCATTGCAGACCTGGCTAACATTGATCCTATGTACCAGTACTCTCTTAGCTGGTTCGTGAACCTTTATATCAACTCTATTCATGACAGGTAAACTTTCTCTAGCTTCATTTATATTCTCTAGGTTGGATTTTCACCATCCTTTCCATTTCTTTTTTATTACTTGTGTAATATGTAATATTCATGTGGAATATTTAAAAATATGGAAAAGTGAATGAAAGGAAGAAAGAGCAAGCTTTTCTATTTTTAGTCTTGTTTCACATTTACACAAGATTTAGACATAAAGGGATTAGCTTTAGTCTTGTTTTTCTCTCTCTTAAATATATGGCCCGGCTATAATTCTTTGTCTCATACAGTTCCATCCCCAGCATAGATCCTCACACTAATAAAGATTCAGTAGGGCCTGGCTGGCGTGGCTCAGCAGTTGAGCATGGACCTATGAACCAGGAGGTCACGATTCAATTCGGTTTAATTCCTAGTCAGGGCACATGCTCGGGTTGCGGACTCCATCCCCTGTGGTGGAGGGCATGCAGGAGGCAGCCAATCAATGATTCTCTCCCAACATTGATGTTTCTCTCTCTCCCTTCCTCTCTGAAATAAATTTTAAAAAATAAATTTTTAAAGATTCAGTAGGTGTGTGTTTTAATTAACTGATTGTTTCCAGTCATTTAGAGTACAATATGAAATTTAAAATTTTGAAAATAGAGAGATGGTTAAACCATATTTCATAGAATTATACCCTATTTTTTGCATAAAGATTTACAAGAAGTTGTACACACACAAAAATTGTACAGGAAGGTCCCTATACCCTTCACCTTGTTTCTCCAATTGTAACATCTTGCATAACTATAGTACAACTAGAGGCCCAATGCATAAAATTCGTGCAAGAGTAGGCCTTCCTTCCCCTGGCTGCCACCACTGGCTTCCCTCTGGCACTCGGGACCCGGGCTTCCCTTGTAGCCCCAGCTTCGCCCGGAAGGTCATCCAGTCTAATTAGCATATTACACTTTTATTATTATAGATATCACAACCAGGAAATTTATTGATACAATCCAGAGAGCTTATTCAGATTTCATCAGTTTTACATGCGTGTGTGTGTGTGTGTGTGTGTGTGTGTGTGTGTAGTATATTTTTAACAGTGGGTACTTTGGTAAAATAAAAACAACTTGCATGTTAATTCATATTTTACTTACTTTTATCTTAGTTTTGTTTGACTAAACATATTTTTCTTTTTTAAAACCTTTTAGTAACAGATCAAAAATCTTGGAAAAGCGCCTCCGATATTTAAATGACCACTTCACATACAACTTATATTGTAATATATGCCGATCGCTATTTGAGAAGGACAAGCTGTTGTTTTCCTTTTTATTATGTGCAAATCTCCTTCTGTAAGTTACTTGCTTTTTCTTTGTTTTAAAAGCCTGCTTGGAATACCTAATATCTAAAGATGACTGCTGTGCTTAATTCATGATTTTACCTGTATATTTCTCTATAATAGTATTAGTGTTTATATGTTTATTTGATTTTTAAATTTTAGATCACACAGAACATTTATAAAATATTCATGTACAGTTCAATAAATTCTTTTTAAAAAATCTTTATTGTTGAGAGTATTACAGGTGTCCCCCTTTCTTTCCCCCTACTCCCCACCTCAACCCGGTTCCTGCCACGCACCAAGCCCTCACCACTAATCTGCTTTCTGTCTCCATAGTTTTTCCTATTCTAGAAATTTTATCAATGAGACATTGTATGGCCCAGAAGGTGGTCTCTTTTTGAATGTTTATGTACTCTTGCAAAGCATGTGTATTTTACTGTTCTGAGATGGAATTTCTAAAAAGGCAAGTAGGTCAAGCTGGTCTATATATCTTCTATATCCTTATTGATTTTCTGTCTACCTGTTTAAGCAGTTATTGAGAAAGGTTTGGAATTTCTACAGAGATTTTTTCTTGTGGTTCTGTCAATAGTGCTATGTGTTTTGATCCTATTATTGGATATTTAGGACTGTCATATCCTCTTAATAAATTGACTTGGCCTTTAAAAAAAAAATCCCTGGTAATGCCCTTTGCTCTGAAATATACTTTTAGTATAGCCTCTCCAGCTTTATTTTGAATACTGATAGCATGGTATATATATTTTGCATACTTTTTAAAAAATATTTTTTATTGAGTTCAGAGAGGAAGGGAGAGGGAGAGATAGAAACATCAAATGATGAGAAAGAATTATTGATTGGCTGCCTCCTGCAAGCCCCCTAGTGGGGATCAAGCCCACACCCTGGCATGTGCCTCATTTAGTAATCAAACTGTGACCTCATAGTTCATGGGTCCATGCTCAACCACTGAGCCACACCGACTGGGCTATATGTTTAAGCTATTTGTACCTTTATACTTAAACTGTATTTCTGTAGACAGCACGTAGTTAGGTCTTGCTTGTTTTATCCAATATGATAATTACTAACTTTAGGGAAATTGCTTAGACCATTTTCATTCAATGAGATAATAGAGTTATGTTTAAATCTATCATCTTACAATTTGTTTTCTGTTTTGCTCATCTGTTCTTTGTTCCACATTTCCTCATTTTCTGCTTTTCTTTTAATTGCATATTTTTTATTATTTGATTTTATCTTCTTTGTTGATTTACTAGCTATGGTTTTTGTTTTATTCTTTCAGTGATTTCTTTAGGATTATAGTGCACTTTTTAACTTTTCACTGTCTATCTCAGGTAAAACTATATATGTAATGTCATATATTTTACTTGTACATGTGTTATAAATCTCACAATACATTGTTATTTTGTGCTTTAAATAATCTATTATCTTTTAAGGATACTTAAAAAGAAAAAAAGCCATTTATGTTTACCCATATATTTACCATATCTGGAGCTTTGTATTCTTTTATGTATATCCAAATTTCCATTTACCTGAAACTTATAGTGTAGATCTACTAGTAATGAATCCTCTCAAGTTCTGTACATCTGAGGGAAAGGGAATCAGTTAAATTTTTTAGATTTGTATTTTTTATGACTAGAAATGTCATTTATTAGGTATGCGCCAACAGGAGCCAGGGCAGGCAATGTTGTGAGAGTTTAAGAAATCCTATATAATAAAAGCCTAATATGCAAATCAACTGAACAGTGGAACAACCGGTGAAACAACCAGTCACTATGACGTGCACTGACCACCAGGGGCAGATGCTCAACACAGGACCTGCCCCCAGCCCGCAGGCCCCAGGCCAGCCAAGGCGGGTGCCAGTGGGGACCCCCCTACCCCCGGTCGCCCCACCAGTCGCCCCACAGATCAGCCCTGATCACCGGCCAGGCCTAGGGACCCTACCCATGCACAAATTTGATGCACTGGGCCTCTAGTGTTACTCCATTCTCTCACAGCAGGCTGAGACCTGAATATTGGTATAAGAGTAGGGAGAGTGGGATCTTCATGAGAGGCGGGAGGTGCAGGAAGGGGCCAACTCTGCGTGGTCCACTGGAAACTGGGTGAGGCAGTTTACTGGAAACTGAAAGCCATTGTCATGGCTTGCAAAACCTGAAATGAGACTAATAGGAAAACAACTGGGATGGCGAGAATCACAAGCAGGGCATAATGGAGTGCAGGGGAAAGGTAGAGAATGTGCCTAACAGTATTTGGTTATTTTCTATACAGTAAACCTCAATATAATGGACTAATTTGGGTGAGGGGGTGTCCATTAAAGCCAAAAGTCCATTATATAATAAAGTAGATTTTTTGAATGTATATGTTAAAAAATTGACAAATTAGTTTACCTGTTTTTACTTATGCAGACACATTTGTGTAATTAAAAGTAAGTATATATGGCCTGGCCGCAGTGGCTTAGTGATTGAGTGTCAGTGGTTGAGTGTCGACCTGTGAACCAGGAGGTCACGGCTCAATTCCAGGTCAGGACACATGCCTGGGTTGCGGGCTCCATCCCCAGTGGGGGGCATGCAGGAGGCAACTGATCAATGAGTCTCTCTCATTGTTGATGTTTCTGTCTCTCTCTCCCTCTCCCTTCCTCTCTGAAATCAATAAAAATATATTTTTTAAAAAAACTATGTGGTTTAGTGCACTTTGAAACATCTGCTAGCAAGCGTTAAAACTGCCGCAAGCACTAGCTCGTTTGGTTCAGTGGATAGAGCCTTGGCCTGCGGACTGAAGGGTCTTGGGTTCGATTCCAGTCAAGGGCATGTACCTTGGTTGCAGGCTCCATCTCCAGTGCCAGGGCCACATGTAGGAGGCAACCTATCAATGTGTGTCTCTCACATCAATCAATATTTCTCTCTCTCTCTCTCTCCCCTTCCCTTCCACTCTCTCTAAAAATAATGGAAAAATATCCTTTTTAAGGATCAAAAAAAAAAATGGAAGAAAGAAACTGCTACAGAAAGTCACACCATGAGTGTGATCACATGCTAATCATTCCCGGACGTTTATGAGCGGTGACTCTTGGATTTAAATATATAGACTATATTGTAGATATGTAATATTTATTTATGTTGACAGAAGTACTATAATGTTTTCTCCAATATATGGCCTATTCACTAAAATTTGTTAAGAATAACAGTGAATTAACAACAAAAAATAAACCTGTTGATTATAAGCAAATTTTGGTTAAAAGCATTTTAAAATAACAGGGTATTAATTTTCACATATGACATACAGACTGGAAAATTTGTCCGTTGAATCTCAAATCCATTAAATTGAGGTTTGAGGTTTACTGTATTGCTCTCCTCATTATCTTTATGTTTCATTTTATCTCCTTCAGTATATTTATAATAGCTCTTTTAACATTTTTGTCTTCTTGTTGTATCATCACTATCTCTTCTATGTACATATTGACTCATTTTTCTCCTGCTTATGGATGTTGTGAATTTTACATTGATCAATGCTGAGTTTTTTGTATTCCTTTAAAGAGCATTAGACTTTACTTTTTCAGTCAATTAAATTACTACTGGATTAGTTTTATCTTTTCAAGGCTTGTTTTTAGCTTTCTGAAGGCAGTTTTATTCTAAGGCTATGTTAGCTTCACTACTAAGGTGTGATCCCTCTGATGTTGAACTGAATTCCTCTGGTGTGAATAAAGATTCAACTGGAGTTGGCAAAAACTCATTTCTAGTTCTGTGTGAGCTCTGGTGCTGTTCAGTCTACAGCTTCCCAGAAATTCGTTGCCAGGCCTCCTGGAGTTTTACCTACTCACACACAACTTAGAATTTAGTAAACGTAGGCAGGTTTCCAAAGCTTCTTTTCCATGTATCTGCCTCCTCTCTGGTATTTTGCCCACATATTCCAGTCACCTCAGCCTTTCTTGACCCTGATAGAGATCTCTTCAGCTCAGCTATACTGCCGAGCTCAGAGCTTCATCTGCTCTCTGCATTGTGGTCTGGAATGTGTATCCAGGCAGATGCTGAGGAAATCCTAAGAATCACCTTTTTTGTCTCCCTTTTTTTAAGGGATCTCAGTCCTGTACTGCCTATTGTATAATTTCCAAAAACAGTTGTTTCATTTTTTTTTTCAGTTTTCTAGTTGTTTACAGTAGTCAGGGAAGTCACTTCTGTTTATTTTATCCAAGTTATAGAAGCAGAAATTTATTCAATTTTAAAATCAACAATTTACAACAGTCCTTGTTTTGGGGAATACAGGGCAAAGAAAGAGATCGACTACCAGGAACTTATGTTTCTTTTAACTGGAGGAGTGAGTCTTAAGAGTGCTGAGAAAAATCCTGATCCAACATGGTTACAGGATAAAAGCTGGGAGGAAATTTGTCGTGCTAGTGAATTTCCTGCCTTCCAAGGACTCAGGTAATTGTTTAAACTTGATGATTTAGCATTGAATAGTGATGGATAAATTTGTAATCTAGTGATTTTTAAATGGTTCTATAGCTGTCTTGATTCATCTCCTTGCTCAACAATCTCTCTTTAAATTTTTCCCAATGAAAGAATAACTATTAAGCTTTTTTCCTTTAGGTCACATTTTTGTACATATATAGATGAATGGCAGAAAATATATGACAGTAAAGAGCCACACAATGCTGTTTTACCAGAACCAATGAATCAGACGCTAAATGAACTACAGAAAATAATAATTCTTCGGTGCTTAAGACCCGATAAGGTAAAAGACAAATATGTCCCATTTGGAACCAGATAATTTGGTGTTTTTAAGTACTAGGTTTAAAGTTGTTGTTATTTGGTTCTTTAACCCTTATTTCAGATGCTCAAAAGGGTTCATGGAGCTCCTTTAAACTATAGATCTACAGTCTTCTTCAACTTGATAAGGTTTTGGCAATTATTTTTTCAAATATTTTTAGCCATCCCACCCATTATTCTAATTAAATGTACATTAGACTGCTTGATATTATACCATAGATGACTGATACTCTGTTAATTATTTTTAAATCTTGTATCATTGTGCTTCAGTTTGGATAGTTTATATTGCTATCTTTTTTAAAATATATTTTTATTGATTTCAGAGAGGAAGGGAGAGGAGAGAAAGATCAATGAGGAGTGACAATCATCTATCGGCTGCCTCCTGCACCCCCCCCCTTCTACCCCCACTGGGGATTGAGCCCAAAACTTGGGTATGTGCCCTGGACCGGGAATCGAATCATGACCTCCTCCTGGTTCATAGGTCAATGCTCAATCACTGAGCCATACCCAGCTGGGCTCTATTGCTATCTTTTAAGTTTGCTGATTTCTTCTTTTGTAGCATCTAATCTGTTATTAATCCCATCCAATTAATTTTTTGATTCAACTTCTATATGTTTCATCTCTAGAAAGTTCATATCTATCTATCTATCTATCTATCTATCTATCTATCTATATACACTAGAGGCCTGATGCACGAAATGTGTGCAAGGGACTCAGTCCTCGCAGCCCCATCGGCCCTCAGAACCTCAGCTGCCTCAGCCAGCCCTTGCAGCCCCTCGCAGCCCCAGCTTCGTCCAGAAGGTTGTCCGGATGGTCATTCTGCTGTTCAGCCTAATTAGTATATTAGCTCTTTATTATATAGGATTCTGTCTCTCTTTACATTGTGTTCATGTTTTCCTTTAAATACTTAAACACAGTTATAATAACAGTTTTTAAATCTTTGACTGCTAATTCCATCATTTCTAGATCTGCTTATTTTAATTATTTTACTTTTGAATTTATATTACATTTTACTGCTTCTTGGGAAGTTCAGGAATGCTTCACTAGATGATGGACATTTTTGATGCTTTGAATTGTTATCTTCCTTTAAAGATTGTTGAATTTTGTTCTGCTAGTTCAGAGGTTAGCAAACAAAACCTGTGGGCCAAATCCAGCCCATGACCTAATTTTGTCTAGCCCATGAGCTAAGAATGGTTTTTATATATTAAAGGGTTATTTCTAAAAATAAGAAGACTAAGAAAATACAAAAGATTTTTTGAAAGAAAGAGAAAAAGAATACATAGCAGATATTGTATGTGGCCCACAAATCCTAAAATATTATCTAGCATTCTATAGAAAAGAGTTTGCCAACCCCTTTAGTTACATAGTTCAATTACTTGAATTCAGATTTTTCCTTTCAAATATTGTTTTAAGATTTGTTAGGGCAGGTGTAGAGAATAGCTTGTACTCAATGGATAATTTAACTTCAACTTCTTAAGTGTAGCTCTTCTGGGGCCTTTACTGGAAGCAAGGTCTCTGTGTCCCTTCCTTAAAAGGTATATTGAAAATCTACTGTGCTAGGTAAAAACTGTAATTGGTATTAATGGTAAAAGAATTAAAAAGATTTCATCGTTGTTCATGGGAAATTATTAAAGGAAGAAATAAAAACCTGCTAAATCATTGTGAACTCCTTTTTGAAAAACCTTTAGTGGCTTTTCAGTACCATGTAGAATAATGACAAAAGTACACTTTGATAGTCTTCTTACCTCAACTAATCAGACCTCTTTTCTGCCATTCCATTCTTATCTTCTTAATGAATAGCATTTTTATTGTTATTTAATTTTAATGTAATTTATAAGTAAGTAACATTTTCCTGTGGTTCAAAACTGAAACACTATTTTGAATCACATGGATATATGAATACAATGAAAAGTGTACCTCCAGTCTTCATCTCTGACTTATTCAACACCCTTCCCCTCAGGCAATTAATGTCATCTGCTCTTTGTTATCCTTTTATGCACATACAAGAGGCCCGGTGCACAAAAATTTGTGAACTCGGGGGGGGGGGTCCCCTCAGCCCGGCCTGTGCCCTCTCACAGTCTGAGACCCCTCGGGGGATGACCATCTGCTGGCTTAGGCCTGCTCCCGGGGGGAATGGCCCTAAGCTGGCAGTCAGACATCCCTCTGGCAGCCCGGCAGCCCTGGGGAATGTCCACTTCACAGTGGGGAGCAGACCTAAACTGCAGTCAGACATCCTTAGTGCTGCTGAGGAAGCAGGAGAGGCTCCCACCACCACCGCTATACTGGCATCCATCAGCCTGGCTTGTGGCTGAGCAGAGCTCTCCCATGTGGGAGCACACTGACCACCAGAGGGCAGCTTCTGCATTGAGCGTCTGCCCCCTGGTGGTCAGTGTGTGTCATAGTGACCAGTCATTCCAAGTCTTTCTGCTGTTAGGGTCAGTTTGCATATTACCCTTTTACTATACAGGATAGAGGCCTGGTGCATGGGTGGAGGCTGGCTGGTTTGCCCTGAAGGGTGTCCCAGATCAGGGTGGGGATCCCGGTTGGGTGCCTGGCCAGCCTGGATGAGGGGCTGATGGTTGTTTTCAGGCTGGCCACACCCCCTTTAGGGGGGGGTCCCCCACTGGGGTGCCTGGCCAGTCTGGGTGAGGGGCTGAGGGCCGTTTTCAGGCTGGCCAGCAACGGAAGCTCCCAGCCTCTCCTTTTTTTCTTTTTTCTTTTTTTTTTATTCTGGGGTTTGTTTAACTTCTATAATTGAAACTATGTTGCCATCACTGGAGCTAAGGGCCCGCTCCAGCTCTGTGGCCACCGCCAGCTGAAAGCAGGTATCTGGGATTTGTTTAGCTTCTATAATTGAAACTTAGTTGCTTTCAGCTCAGAGCTGGGCCGCAGAAGGCGGGGAACCTTGGCTTCCTCCATCACTGGAGCAAGCAAGCCTCCTGCTCGCTTCAGCTGCATGGCTGCCGGCCGCCATCTTTGTTGGCGGTTAATTTGCATATAGCCCTGATTAGCCAATGGGAAGCATAGCCAAGGTACAGTCAATTACCCTTTTTGTCTTTTATTAGATAGGATAAATATGCATACATGTAACTTCCATTTATTTTTGTTTATTTAATCCTCACCTGAGGACATGCCTAAAGAGAGGAAGGGAGAAAGAGAGAGAAACATCAATATGAGAGAGAAACATCTATCAGTTGCCTTCCATACACATCCCAACCTGGGATAGAACCCACAGCCCAGGTATGTGCCCTGACCGGGAGTTGATCTGGCAACCTTTTGGTTTACGGCACGATGCTCAACCAACTGAGCCACTCTAGCTGGACTCCATTTATTTTTAATACAAATGGTAGCATTCACTGTTTTACATATTTTTATTTTCCCTATCAGTTCATTAAAAATGTTCTCATTCTTCTTTACAATGCATGGCATTCCATTATATGAATAAACCATAATTTCTTTAACCAGTACCTATTGTAAATCTTTACAATATTTATATATTACCTACTATAAAAACGCTGTAATGAACAACCTTATTCAAATGTTATTTCTACCCAGACGATGTGGCTCAGTGGTTGAGCGTTGACCTTTGAGCCAGGAGGTCAGGGTTCGATTCCTGATCAGGGCACATGCTGGGTTACAGGCTCATTCCCCAGTAGGGGGCATGCAGGAGGCAGCCGATCAATGATTATCTCTTATTATTTTTTTTTTTTACTGGTACTAAGAACAGTACTCTTTTTTATTACACCTCTCCATGTGGACCTAAATCATGATTGTGTCCTGTGAGACTCTTATTTCATTGCCAGTACACACTAGTAACCAAAGTATAAGAGAACACATTTTTAATAATTTACAGAGATTAGTTTCATGACTTTGAATAAATAGATAAATGATAGAGACATCATTATTCGTAAAAAAACAATTTCAAGTTACTCAACTTTTACAATACTGTTCACATTTAAATATCTTTGCAAAACTATTATTTGGCAGTCATTTGTTTTATTCCTATTAAGACTGGATACAAAATAGCTTTTGTCCAAAAGTGAATAATTTTTCTCCAATGGATTTGAATCACTAAAATGTAAGTTCCAAAAAGGAAGGAGTCTTTGTTTTATTCACTGATGCATTCCAAGCTCTTACAACAGTGCCTGACATGAAGTACATGCTCAATTAATATTTGTTACATGAGTAAGTCCTGTATCTTAATTTTGCAAATATAAAATAAATAATGGTTTTCAAGCATGACACAAATATTTTTTTTTCCATTCAAACTGCACTAAAAATTTCTAAAACAGACAAGTTATAGCCACTAATTTTACCCAACCTAGGACAAGTTGTACCCTTCTGGGTACAAACAGCTTGACTGGTGAAGAAGAAAGACCTCAAAAGTATCCGCACATTTATTGTGCTCCCCTTACCTTGTTGAATGATGAAATCATCAGATTGAATGCCATTGTAGTTTCCACATAGGCCACATGATTTCCCTTTAAGCTCCTCAGATATTTTGAGGTAAATTGCAGATATTCCATCCCAAGCTAATGAAAAACCAAAGGTTGTTTTCACCAGAATGTAGTCAGCTAGTTTCTCAACAGATACCTGTCCAATTGTCTGAGGCAATGTTAAACTTGAAAAATGGAACAAAGGCAATTTAATTATAATGAAGAATCAATTATAGATCATTCTTTTCATAGTAACAGACAATTAAGTAAAACATGGTTATTATTCAAAATTATTGAATAAACTATGCAATTAGATTTACCAAGCAACCATCCTATAGAAAATCTTGTGTTTTGAAAAATTCAATATTGAAATAAAAAGAAAACAAAAATTATATCCGTTTCTCAATGATGATTTAGATTTTATACTTATAATTGGATGATTCTTTCAACCAACCAAAAACACACTTCTGCTAAATATCAGTGATTTTTATAATCTGGAAAATAACTATGTCTACTTTGAATAATGAGC